CGGTTGAGTAAGTGCACGGACAGGCTGAATGACACTTTCATTTAACATCTCTCATGGAGATCGCTAAACTTCAGCTTACTTGTTTGTCTGTGTTTTCAGATAATCGTCGCCGCTTCCGTAATGTAGAGCGAGCGTGTGCGCATGGTTGCCAGATTGCAAAAATTAAGCAAAACACCGGGCAGAAAATAGAGAAGCTCTGATTTGGTGATTTGAACACTTTATATCTGGCAACCACATACATGAAAGCCTATGTAGTAGAAGCATGTACAGCAATAATATTTTGTATCTTTTTTTTCCGACGAAAATTAAAAGAGACTTTGGTATAGTTTTTTTTTTTTTTTAATACATTTTAGTCTCGTCTTTTATCATCAGCAATATTGTGTGTTGATGTAGTCACTGTTATCGCTTATTGACCTTTTCCATTTCAGTCATGGGAAAAAAGCTAGTCAACAAACATTTTTTGTCATAGTTTTCGTTAACAAAATTAACACTAGTGAAGAGAGGCCCCTGATAAAACACACACACACAAAGCTTTAAGCAGCAACTTCTGCTGTTCGATAACTGTCAAACGGTCTGTTAGCCTCTGGCCAACACAAACCAAATTCCTGAGCAGTTATTGATGCACAGAGCATGCTTCTCATCTTGTAGCTTACGTAGGTCTACACACAAATATACATCAAGCTTTAAGCTGCACCTTTAGCTATTCAGTAGCTGTATCTGTGTTATTTTTACTATGCAACAGTTAGTTCTGATGCTCGAATTTGATTGGGTGAGAGGCACTTCAACTCTATAGCGGCTATTCTTGACATATTTTTGCATTTAAAAAAGTGAGACACATGGCAGTGAAATGAAGAAAATGTCTTACTACTAAATTAAAAGTTACTACTTTTAATTTGAGCTACTTTTTAATTGTTTTAGAATGTCATGTTAACATGTGTGAGATGCTGCAAAAGATGCAAGGCGCATGTTTACATAGAAAAACAATTGAAAAGCAGCACAGTTGAATGCAAAAACACATTTTGTGTAAACAGCAATCTTTCACATAGAACAAGGCGCAGGGCGGTGGAATGAAAAAAAAAACACAAGGCCTAGAGACCTACTTTTACCTTGAGCAGTGCATTTTTAGAACTCCATGTCATGCACGAAATGTTACAAAAAATGTGAGCAACAACCAAACACGTCTGTGTATAGCATGTTTACATTGAAAAACAGTGGAAAAACGGCGCAGTGGGATGCAAAAATTCTGTTCATTAATGGTGTTTTTTTTTATTGAGACTCTTTCTGTATGTTACATTGGTACACCAGTAGGTGGCGACATGGGACTTTCATTTAAGGAATTGTTTGAATGAATGATTCAGATTTTGAACGAATCAATTGAATCAATGAGAGAGACACTGAATAATTCACTCAACAGTTTTAATCAAACCCACTGACTGAACTCTGCTACTGCTTTTGCTCTGAGATGCAACGGTTCTGCTTTGGCTTCTGAAAGTGGAGCAAAAACAGATTGTGTAACTGAAAACAGTGTTTAAAATGTAAGTTACTCAATATTAACTTTTTATTTATTGAAATGTTGTATAAAAGCAATATCACACTCGCAGTTGGTCTGAAAATCTACACGTCTGTGATTGCCTGTGACACTTTCCACTTGCCTGGATATTCGGTACTACAGCACATTCGGAATCCAATTGCATTAATCAACACTATCAAATAAATTATCACCATGTCTAAGCTGGCTGACTGACTGATGTGTTATACAGCTCTGAAATCTAATTCATTTATAGTGTGTCCAATGCTTAATGTTCTTTTGATCAGGAAATGTGTTAATAATGTCCAATTACCAGAATACATTTTTTTGTCCTTTTTAAGTGATTAAGAAGCAAAAGAGAGAGGAGTAAGAAACAGAGATGTTTCCCAATAGTATCACATTGATCTTTTTGTTCCAGCCACAGACTGGATAACATCTCTGGCTGAAGTCGATGAAACGATAAACCTTTCCTTTCTGAAGGTAAGACAGTTTAAAGAGGATCGTGTCATTCTCTGAGAAACTCACATTAAAGGAGGAAGAGGTGGTGGGAGGAGGCAGACTAACAGCTTGCTGAAAACCTTCCTGTCATCATGTGAGTCTGATGATGATTGGGCCACAGTACAGAAAACATTGTGCTTTCAAAGAAATCTTTTTGATTGCATGCATAGACGGACTACCTGGGCAGATCTTTGGTTTATATGTCAAAATACAATAGGATTTATTTTGTTTCTGGACATATGAAAGGGATGTTCAAGATTTATTGAAGGTCTTCCGAAAATAATATGTAACTTTACAGAAATCTTGTATTTTTTACTGAGTTCAAAGAAATTTGATTAGCAGTGCTGTTTGAAGGGGTTTGGCTATTACATGTATGTAAAAATGTAAATTCAACCTACATACAAATCACAACTGCATGGACAACATTTTCTGATTTATTGTGAAAATGGCGTTTACATGATCCACAGCTACTTGAATATTCCTTTATACAAGTAATTATGATATTGATTTTTTCCCCTGCTATTCTGGAAATACTGGAGATGCCTGCTCATTCCATTTATTGGTGATTCTGTACAGCAATTGAAATGAATTAACTCTCATTCATGTCTTTGATAATAATATTGAATACACTGGAGCAATGGACTGTGAAATGTAGCTCATGAGACT